GAAAAACAGGTGGAACAATTTTATAAACCTTGCCCCTCTGTAATTATAATTTTTTCTAAAAGTTCATTGCTTCAAACATTGAACACAGCTTTTAATTACATGTCTAAAATTTTTAACAGAGATCGTACGGCTCATACAACCTTAAAAATTGCTCTCATTAACCATGAATTCTAACCCGATTCGTGGACGTAGAAAATTGATTTCACTTAGCCCGACAATAACGCGTATAACTTCCTGAACAGTTTAAATCGCTTTCCATTCGCAAGGAATATGAGTAGAGAATCACTCGTTCAGTTTTAATGCGCGTTCCAGTCTACCCTTCCAATTAAAATTTGTCGAGAGCACAGTGGGAATCAGAACCTAATTCGCTTTGAAGCGGTTCCGAAATTCCTCTGTTTAGGATAAATTCTCTACTGGGAAGAGTAAAACGATTTTATGAAATATCGCATCGATTCTTCCCGCGGCTTTCAAAAAATCGTCACGTTTGCCCAGCTTATCTCTTTGCTATGGTCCACCGGTCATTTACATAAAAAATAGCACGGTTTGAAAAACCACGCACGTCGGGAAACTAGAAAAACCAAAGGTGACTCCGTGATAAGAAATTTTATAGCGACTATTCGTGACTAGAGAGAATATATTTCTTGTTTTCTGGTTCCAATGTACGTCAGGAAAATGTACAGTTAGTAACAACGAAACTGAGCCAACTGTGTGCATGTGTTAGTTTTCCCTAGGGGGCAAAATTCAAAACGAGTAATAATAAGTGTACGTCTTATCGCATCCCTTGATAAACTAACCATTTTCAATCGTTCATCAAAATTCATCAAAATTCAGTCGTTAATAAAATCAAAAAATATGTAGTAAACAAATTTGTAAGTTGGTTACTCTCATTTCTTCAGCTATTCAGCTACCTTCGTGGTAAAAACAATCTGGGGAGACGAAAAAAATATGTTGATATCGGCTTTTTTCTGAAATCCTAGTGAATTTTCAAATTTATTTCCGTATTAACAACATATTTTTAAATAAAACTTGTTTTAAATTAAANCAGAGGTAATAACATTACGATGGGGTAGAAGAGTAACCGGTGGAAGTAGCCTATTTTAAAGAAACACGTCATGGGAGAAAATCGATCTGCAACTCCCGGTGCGGGTGGAGGCGGCAGCGGAGGTGGAAAGAGAAATATAGATGGTAAACGTATATCTTACCTTCGGCTGAGAATCGGAATTCGAGGAGGAATCATCGTAGTCCTCGGCGTCGTCGTACTCGTCGTCCATGTAAGCGTCCCCCGCGTCCTGGACGCCGCCGTCTCTCAAGTTCTCGCCCCAGGATTCCTCTGTAACGTCCACGGAGAACCGAGAATTTGAACAAAATGCATATTGAGCGACCCGTTGAAAATGCGATCGGAGCTGTTGCGTTTTCCACACCCATTCCACTGTTCGCTCCCTCGACGGAATAAAATGGGATAAGATGGAAACCGTCTATTTAGACCGAGAGTATACGAGACGTACCGCGTTTGTCACAAGATTCTCAACGATTCCTCTCCCAGTCCCCGTTCAAACACACGTTCCAAATACGTGTTTATTTGATCGCTGAAAATTGAGTTTATACGACACGTTCGCTCGCCATTATACTCATAAAAAGCTTGATTTTATCACGTCACTGTGTCCGTGTCCTAAACATCGGTTCGATTTCGAACGGGCAATTTTTTCATTTCCATCGGAAATAGAACGCGCGTGACGCGTCCAACGGGATTCGATAGCTAACAGCGAAATAAAACATTCTTTGTCACACTAAACGGTGTAGATGTGCTCGTTTTATTTCTTCATTTTTATTTCCGTATGGTAATATTATTGTAATGCAATGGGGGGAACGGTGGAATAAAACGGGAATTTAATGGTTCACCGATTTATTTCACGACCGATTGTAAAGCTTAATATTCTCTATCGAATTTGTTCCGATCGAAAGAAGTCGTAACGAGTTGTTTGTGCGTTTCAATTAAATTCCACCGCGAACGAGTAACAAAGAGGAAATAGCTGGCGAACGTCGAATTAATTACTCTTGTATGAAAT